ATAATTTGTAAACATTTATTACAGGAATCCCCTTTGGCAATCAGGTACTTTGCTCTTTCCTTCATAGAAACTACACTTGACCTCACAATTAGCTGGTGTCAATGTAGCAGGTAGAGACCTGCAAAAATATTGAGCCCTTTCAGAAGGGCCTATTCAGAGAAGCAGAGTAGTATGGTGGGAAGAAAGAACCTGGGAACCAAAAGACTGAGGTTGGATGTTTGGTTCTGACAGTTAAGGGGATATGTGACCCTGGGTAAGACATTTCCTCTCTTTGAGTCTGAATTTCCACACCTGTAAAATAAGGAAGGTACACAACAGATACTTGTATCTCCTCAGCCAGAGGGGTGCTCATGATGGAGCAATGCCTAGTATGAGGTTTTGCAATGCAAAAAAATAGGTTCTTAATAAATGTTTGAGGATGCAGTGGATAGAGCACCAGCTCGGGAGTTAGGAGGACCTGAATTCAAATCTGGCCTCAGACACTTGACACTTACGAGCTGTGTGACTCTGACCAAATCGCTTAATCCCAATTGCCTCGCCCCCCCCCAAAAAAAAAAACAAGTTCAAGGAATAGGATTTGAACGTGAGTGGGAGCTATTATTATATCTCATCAGAGATGCATTCATCTATAGAATGAGTTTCTTTATTTGTGTTTAAATGATTGGAACTTCAGGTCCTATGATGCAGAGAGACAGTCTTACAGAAGGTTTTCATCAGTCAACTTGAGCTAATGGAGCAATAAAACTCTAAGAGATTCATGGAAGCAGAAAAGAGATGCCATCAGAGGACCTGGCTATTATGTCAAGAAGCAAAATGGTTTCCTTCTTGACATTTCAAAATTGAATCATCAACAATTTGATACCAGAACCCACCAATAAAAAGATGGTTAAAGTCCCCCTGTGCTAGGCTTTGGCACCTAGCAGATTTTCTCGCCACGTGCTGCCCATCAAGACCCAATCCAGGTGCCTCTTCAGAAAGAACTGGGTCAATTTCAGTGGGCTAACAATAAGGGGATACCCAAAAGGCTATAATGGCTGCCATATCAGGCTTCTCTCCCAGCATGTTTGTTTCACAGCAGTAAGGAGCTGTGGGACCAAACCCTTCTGGGTAAGTCTTACACTTCAGTGCTCTACTAGGAAGTGTAAGATTCATCTTCCAGCCTCAGGCAAAGAACCTAGCCCAGGCATGCAACTGTCACCTCCAAAGGCTTCAAATCTTGTGACTTTTGGCTCACATTCCCACTGAGCTACTGGCCCAGAGACTCCTGGGGGCGTGGGGGGTGTTAGGTTTGCATTTCCACATATTTTTTCCATGCCTTGATCTTCAGCTGTAAATTTAGTGTCAGCTCCATAGGAAGTCACTGAGGTGTCTGAATAGAAAAGGATTACAAAGGTACCAAGAGGAAATGGCAGTCCTAGCTTAGGGAACAGGGAGTGAGCTTTGCCAATTTTTTTTTTTTTTTGCTGCGAGCTACAAACATATCCCAAAACTTTCCTTTCATAGTGTCTAACAACAATGGAACCTGCTCACTTTACACAGCACATTAAGGTTTGCCAAGCACTTTACATATATTATCTCATTTGAGCCTTATCTATGAGGTGTTATCCCCATTTTACAGAAGAGGAAATTGAGGCAGAAAGAAGTGAAGTGACTTGCCTAGGGTCACACTGCTAGAAAGCCTGTGAGGAGGTAATTGAACCTAGGTTTTCCTAAATCTAAGGAGGGGAGTTCTACCCAGTACAACACACTACTTCAGAGTCAATACCTTTACCTTGACAAGAAGGGATCTTTAGTTGAATTAGGAAGTCTTCAATATGTACATTTTACCTTTCCCTAAATAAGGACTTAGTGTTGTTAGAATCACAGAATTTCTATCTGGAAGAAATTCTCAGCAGCATATAGTACAACCTCTTCATCTTACAGATAGGAAACTGAGGCTTAGGAAGGACCACAGAAGCTAAGATTTAGAGCTGGAAGGGGCCTCAAAGACCACATAGTGCAGCCCTCTCATTTCATAAATGAGAACACAGAATTCCAGGGAGGTTGTGATTCTTGGAAGGTCACAAAGGTGGTTAATGTTAAAGCCAGAGCAACAACTCACATCTTCCCACTATACCATTATGCCTCTCTTGTCTTTCTATCTAGGATAGATAGAACCTGCTTTCCAACAGGTTTGGGTTTTATGAACTGAAACAGAGAAAAAACCAAGGGACCAAATTACAAGTTTTCTATGGTAAATGCTCAAACAGTGTCAATTTCCTCCTGAAAAATTATTTAGAAATAATGGACCTAAGATGAGAAGATCCTTCATACACCAGAAGATTCAGACACATTGTTAATGATACTTATAATCACAATGTGCTTTCCACCCTCCAGGTACAGACTTTGTCCCTTTAAGGATGATGTCATTAAAATAAGATACTCAAAGTAATTGACTTGTGGAGATCAAGCTCTTCTACAGCAAGATATAAGTTTTATATATATAGTTATAGTTTTATATATATATACATATATAAAACTATATGTATATATAAGTTATAAGATCTAAGTTACAGGAAAACATGGAAGCTTTGTTGAAAAGAGATTCTCCTCTATAAACCCCTTTTCACCTATTATCTTTAGATATGAGATATTATCTTTAGAATGAGAGTTCCTTGAAATTAGGGGATTGTCTTTCCCTTCCCCCATCTTTTATTACATCTCCTGTGTTTAGCACAGGTCTTGGTATATAGTAAGCACTTACTCGATACCTTATCTGTCTAGCAATCAAATTGTGCATATAGCATGACATTCACTCACTCATTCATTCATATAATAGATTATTTATTGAGTACCTGTTATGCACAAGACCTTGTATGAGGTGTTATGGAGGATGCAGAGATAGAAACATGAGTAATATGCACAACCCTGACCCCAAGAAGTTTACAATAGAGTCCCCTATACATGCAGTATTATGCACTCAATAGCATCCCTATGACAAGGCTAGTCTGTCAAGGAGAGATAATGATTTCTATATCCTAAAGCATTTAATCGATAGCCTTGTCCCTTCAGCCCTTCAACAAAACCTCAGATAGTAGTGACCAGAAAATCTGCTTATTGGCTAAATTATTCTCTTCCTTAAAACCAGGATTATAATAGGGTTTTTACTATATGGTGACAGCAGATAGAGAGCCAGACCTGGAATCAAGAAGACCTGGATTCAAAGCTGGCCTCATACACTTACTAGCTACGTGACCCTGGGCAAGTCACTTCATGCTGTTTACCTCAGTTTCCTCATCTGTAAAATGAACTGGAGAGAGAAATGGCAAATCACTCCAGTATCTTTGCCAAGAAAACCCCAAAAAGGGGTCAATGAAGAGTCAGAAATTACAGGAAACAGCTCAACAACAACAACAAATATTTAATGCCTCCCAAAATTTTCATGAGTAACTGAACAAAGCAACTTCAAGTTCTCCCTCAAGTTCAGTCACCCAAATCTATACCATTTTCAAAATGGATTTGTAACAGCATCTGAAATACTGCCCACCTCTCCACTAATGTGAACTGTATTTGGTTCAAGGGTCAGGATGGCCAGGCAACCCAATTACTACAGGAGAAACACAAACAGAATTTCCAATACAAGGAGGTGGGGAAGGGGAAGGTAGGGAGAGAGACAGACATACAGACAGAATATTGTACCTGGACTTCTACCACCTTACCTTGGAACTCATATCATGAGGCTGTGAGTGAACCCTGAAATTAGGACACACCAAACCTGATCTTTCTGCCTTGGCCTCAGGTAGAAGAACATCTGGACCTGGAAAGGGAACTCAGCAGCAATTAGTCTCATGGCCTAGAGCTTCTTCCCTATACTTGATGTCACAGTTCAAGTGTGATCTTGGAGAAAAGAAATAAATGAGAATCATTGCAGCATTTTTTTTAAATCCAAAGAAAAGAATCAGAGGCTTAGAAGCAGACACAAACAAGACAGCTTTGAAACCCACATGCAGAATTTATTATAGTCTTTCTAAAAATGCAAACTATACAAGTAAGTTGGTCAGGTGCGATCTTCTATTTCTCTGATTTCATGTATGTAGAAATGCCGTTGTTCAATAAAGTTTCTCAGGTTTCCCAGGTACAAAATAACAAAATACAATTTTTTTAAAAAATATAATCTTCAGCTTCTATGCAAAAGGAAGGGGGGGGAATTCATTGTCCATTTATGGATTTCTCAACAATTTGTTTTTGGCTACTCATTCTGCAAGAAGTAGAAGGGAGTGGCTGGCAGAAAAAAATCAGGAAGGTGCTTCCTCATTTCTCCACCAGATCTTGGCAGTGAATTTTCTACTGTTCCTGTGGATTCAAAGACTACAACTGGGGAATTCCTCATTCCTGCCCTTGACTGATTTCTCTGAATCCATGGTATCCAGGAACTAGAGATCTTCCTAAAGAGGTCAATTCGTCCTCATCACCAGCAAACATTTATTTGTTTGGTTGCTATGCAGGGCATTTAAAAAGAGGGCAAATATAAGGACATAATTTCATTGCCAGAAAAAAACCAACTAGAAATATATTGGCCTTTAGAACCACGAGGCTCTCCTGATGCAACCCTGACCCCACCCCAAGGGAGAAGATGGGCTATGCAGTGGGATCTTTGCCTGGGCCTGTCTCCCCACCTGGCACAGGCCAGAGCAAAAGCAGCAAAATATAGCTGGCTTTAGATCTGACAGTGGAACCATTTGGGCACAGGGAAGAGGGGCCATGTAAGAATTTGTCAGAAAAAAATTACAAATAGCTTTTCCTCCTTTTAATTTTGAGAATGTCACATAAAAAACACCACAAAAAGAAGTTCCAAGCTTAGTCTATAAGACTAGTTGTGAGAATTTGAGAACAAAATTGATCACCTATATACAGGGATTTATATCCTAAAGCACCAAAACTGTATATAATACATGTATATAGGTATATATACATATACCTATATACATACATGCATGTGTGTATATATATACATATATATGTATATATACACATATATATGTATATACATCAGGAAAACCTGTGTTCAAAGGTAGCCTCATACACTTTCTAGCTATGTCCCCCGGAAGACTCATGGCCCTTAGCCTTCTAGCAAAAACTTCAGATAATATTTCTCTGGGTCCTTATCTAGAGACCCCAGATGCCCTTCATCTGGTATATTCCTTCTCCCAGTGCTTGAAGACACCAGAGCGGTTGAGAGGAGATTTGGGAGGCCTGGTGTAGATATAGAGCAATTGAGGAAAGCTGAAATTCAGGCTCTGGGGAAGAATATGAATTGGGGATCCTGAAAGAAGGGTCATTCTCTTTGGTGTCTTTTCCTGCAACCCAGGGCAGAGAAGAAATAAAAAGAGGAAAAGACCTTCAGAGGCTAGCTACTACTTCCCATGAGCATAGCCTCAGTTTCTCTCCCTAGCTCTGAGTGCCAGGACTGGAATACCATTACTCTCAAGGCAGCCCCAGTCTAGAGACTGAGTTCTAGGTGCCCTGAGCAAAGCTCCTGAGCCAAGCAGCCTTCTGGCTCCCAGGAGTTTCTGTTTTGCTGCCCCACGGGGCTCAGGGCCCTGTAGATGGTAGTCACTCAATAAATGTGAGTGGGTGATTGGCAAAGCAGAGCAAAGGAGGTGAGTGGGAAAACCCAGGGGCTTTGATCCTGCAGGCACAGTAGCCTTCCGGGATAAGGACCCAGAAACAATTATTTGGATTTGACAAACTCCAAAAGCCTTCTAAGTCACCACATCCCCTTGTTGGGGAAGTCATCTCTTCCCCAGCCCCTCTTCCTCCTGTCTCAGAGTTTCCACTGTCAGATCTGAAGCCGGCTATATTTTGCTGCTTTTGCTCCGGCCTGTCCCAGGTGAGGAGACAGGCCCGGGCAAAGATCCCACTGCACATCCCATCCTCTCCCTTAGGGTGGGGTCAGGGTTGCATCAGGAGAGCTCTAGTCCTGGTACTGGGGGCCAGGGTAGAAGCAGGTCAGCCTGCAACCTGCCTCAGGCAGCTCAGTGCTGACAGCATCCACAGCCACCTCTTTAGAAGAGGGGTACCCAACAGCAAAGCCCCAGTCCCAGGGACTGGTAGATCTTCTGACTCCAATGGAACTGATGCTCATTCTGAGGACCAGGAGAAGCCAACATGTCCAAGCTCAGAGCAGAATCTCCCTCTTATGTGCACTGGGCCCTTGTCCTCTTCTCCGAAATCAGCAGAGTGGCCCTCAGAGTCTAGCACTTCTGCAAAAGGCTTTATTGGGGGAGGGGATGTTTAACAAAACAAAACCCATTAGGGGAAAGAAAAAAAAAGGCTTTTGGTTTCCTCTGTGAAGAAACCAAAAGCTACAAAGTGCAGTGATAGTGAGAAGGCTGGAAGATGGAGTTGGGGCCTAAGGAGTAGATAAGGCACTTGGCCCCAGGAACCCCGTTCACCCCAGAGATTTTCTGTCCATTTTTCTTCTATCCCTGTGATTTCGAATAAATATAGGTCCGAAAGAGGTCCCCCCTCACCTCTAAGGGGGCTACCAGGGGCGCCAGAGTCCAGAAGGTGGGGGGCCAGGAGGACAGCCAGATTCACGAGGAGAGGAAGCCAGCCGCATTCTATCTGGGGACTCAGAGCTCGAGTCTTTGGGGCTGCTAAGGGAGTCCGGGAGCCCGAGAGGGTACTGGCCCGAGGCGCTTCGGTGCAGGTGCTCCAGGAGTCGGCTGCATACCTCCCCATCGAGGAGGCTGCAGGTGGGCAGAACCCGGGTCAGGCAGCTGAGACAGGCCCGGTATCCTTCTCTGTAGCTGTCTGCTAAGGCTGGGAAAGAAAAAGGCGAACAGTCAGGCTCCGAGACCGCAGGAAAAGAAGCGAGGAACTATGGACGGGGTGGGGGCGAGGGAACGAGCCCAAGCTGGTGCTCACTTGGATCCCCTTAGCCTAGAGGTCACTCACTGGGAGCGGCATGGCAGTGGGACGTCGGCAGCTCCTGAAGGAAGCGCACTGTCATTTCTAGGATGTCTGCCTTCTCCAGCTTCGAGTAGCGGGAACTCTGTGGGGAGCAAGGGGACAGAAGGCTCTAAGGGGGCTACGTCACTGTACCCCACATCACCGGGCTCAGCCTGCGCACCCGAAAGCCTGCTCCCAGAATCTAGAATCCCCAGTCCTCCGTGGCTGTCGCCAGGGGCATCACCGATTTCCACCCTCTTGACTCCCTCCATGACCTCCACCAAATCCCCAGCTCAGCGGGCACTCACATCCTTGCCGATAAGTGGTAAGATGAGACCCTTGAGCTGGGTAAGGCTCTCGTTGATGCGCGCTCGTCGGCGTTTCTCCATTAGAGGCTTCAGAGTCTGAGAGAACATGTAAGTTCAGGCGAGGCTCGGCACTTTCTAGCCTTTCCCACTTCCCAGTTCTACCGCCCACCACTGGCTTCTGCGTCTCTTACCTTGCGCAGTTCTGCAGCGTCCCCTGGCCTTCGAGGGACCCCCATCTTAGGTTGGAAGGCGCTCTCTGCGTCGGGCTCAGCGCTATGGGGAGACATACAGCTAGGTCCAATCCGTTGCGGAGCTCCCAGGCAGGTCGGCCCAGCTCATTAGACACCGGTTAGGACGCGGAATGCTCACCGGATCGCCTCCACCTAGACTATAAGGAACCACCCCTCCCCCCGGCTCCACCTCCTGGCTTTGTTCCAGCTGGGGAAGAGAAGGGAGAAGAAGGCTGGGAGGGACGAGGAAGGGGTGGATCCCACAGGAGAGAGTGCACAGTTACTGGCCCCATCTGCTCCTAGTTCTGGCTTCGAGACAGTACGCCCCGGGGCAGAGAAGGTGCAGACAGGGAGGAGACGCCCGGGGGGAGAAGGCTCAGACTGGGACGCCAGGCCAGGACTGCAGTGGAGAGGCAATCCAAAGGTTAGGACCCGGAGATTAGACAGCTAAAATAGGGTTTGCCACGGAGTCTCGGAAGGAATTAACTACTCTGTTTCCGGTAGAAACCCAGGTTTCTTTACCGCTGCTGCATTATCCTATCTACACCTATCTTCCACACCTGCCTCCTAGCCCACCACTACTACCTAACATGCGCACACAATCTAGGGACTAAAAGAAGGGTGCTCCCACCCAGAGGAATTGTGAAATAGGGGCTGTCCCTCCTCTAAATCTATGGTCTGTGATACTCTTTTCGGACGGCCTCCCGCCTCTAGGTATCCGTTCTCCAGGGCCCTGGGCCTTCTGGCCTCCTGTTGGCTTACACAGTCCGTTTACGTGTACATACCTCCCCTTCCTCACCCCCACCCCCATCCTCCCCATGAAATTAAGGCTTTGCATAGTGCGGGCTTCATTCACGGAAGCTATTAAGGCTTTGACTTGCTCTCTGCTCGGCCCCCGGTTTGTTTTGTTTTATTTTTAGCATTTTAAACTGCTCCAGGAATCGGAGCATGAGCCAAATATAGGGATATTTGGGGAGACTTTCCCTGAACTCCTTGGGTCATACCCTGTACCTTAAAGAGCATCGATCCCTAACTCCTTCGGACCTCGAGGAGGTAGAGATTTCTACAGATTTGGATTATTCTTTGACCCTTAAAGGCCACGTACGGTTGTCCTACCCTGCGTCTAGGTCGCTCGGCCGTTGCTACTGTAAACAGGCTGGGCATCCCCAACTCATCTGTGCTGGGCGGTTCCAGAGCTAACTCTCCCTCCCTCCGCCCCTCTTCCCAGCGCTTAGAGCTAGGCTAAGCGGCTGAGGTGCGTGGGGGAAGGGAAGGGGAGGGTAGATAAGGCGAATAAGCCAATGGCTGAAGCAATGAACCTAGGGATGCTCTCGCTTCCTAATCCAAGCTGTGCTTGAAGCCGAGGCTCACAGTTGTTCCCTAACCCAGGAACATCCCCTTCGTGGATGTAGCTTTAGAGTAAAGGCGGTGAGGAAGAGTCTAGATCGAGCTCTACAGGCTTCCGCATATAGCCCTGGGGGAACTTAGAGGCAGTGCTGGCTTCCGAAGTCCAAATCGCTGGGCTTCTGGTGAAGACAGGATTCCCAACAGAACCAGGCGCTGTCCCAAGTGCTGAGCTACCCGACGTTTTCTGTCTCTGGCGACTGGAAGGGTCTGTGTGCCGAATACTAAAGAAAATAAGAACAGTGGGAAGCGAAGCAAGGACAGTCAGATTGGAGGAGAGATCGGTCTCAGGACGCGAGATCCTGGAATGAGCCAGACCTTCAGTCAGTCAGTCAACTAGCTTTTATTAAGCAGCTATTATGTGTCAGGCACGGTGGTAAGCGGTAAGCGCTGGGGATACAAAGAAATAGAAACAAAACAATTCCTGCTCTCAATGAGTTCACAGTCATATGATGGAGAATTGCAAATAGTATACATGAAGAATAAATTGGGAGTAGTATCGGAGGGAAGGACCTAAGATTACAGGGGACTGAGAAAGGCTTCTTGCACAAAGTGGAACTCAGACTTGGAAAAAAGCCAGGGAAGCTAGAAGGCAGAGACAAGAAGAGAAAGAGTTTCAAGCATGGGAGCAAAAGTTGGGAGAAGGAAGTGTTCTATGCGAAGAACAGGAAGGAGGCCACGGACACAGGATTGAAGAATGGGGATGGGGCAAGGAACAAAAGGTAGGAAAGGGGCCGTGTTGTGAAGGGCTAGTTCAAAAGCCAAACGGAGGGTTTTCTATTTGATCCTGGAGGTAACAGGAAGCCACTGGAGTTCATTGAATAAGGGAGTGATGTGATCAGACCCTCATTTTAGGAAGATCACTTTGACAGCTGAGTGGAAGATAGATTAAAGTGTGAAGAGAAGTGAAGCAGGGAGACCAATCAACAAAGATCAACTTTCAAAGGAAGGATAAAGCAGGGTTTATAGCTGCCTCACTATCCAGGTGTGTCTTGCTAGGTCTTTCTCATGCATCTCCCAGCCAGGATATCTATAGTAGATCCCCTTGAAGTTATTTCTGAAATTATTCATGAACCACTTAAAGAATGAAGGAGTTGGGGAAATGGGAGTATTGGGGAGAGAGGAAGATAATTAATTCTGTTTTCACCATTTTAGTTTGAGATGCCTAGAGAACATCTAGCTTGAGATGTCCAAGAGGCAGTCGCTGCTGCCAGTTCCAGCTGCCTGCTAGAAATCAGGAAAGAAGCTAAGACTGGATAAGTACACCTGGGAATCACTGGCACAGAGGTGATAACTGAAGGCAATGAGGCAGGTATGATCACCAATGGAACTAGCATAGAGGGAGAAAGGGGCCAGGAAAGAGTTGGGGGGGACACCCACAGTTAGTAGGTGGTGACTTTGTTGAAGTACTGGCAAAGGAGACTGAAAATGAGAAGAGAGAAGGCCCAGGACAACTTTGGGGCCTGCGGATAATGGCAGTTCCCACCTGAATGAGCCTGCTGTGGGGGTTGCTTTGGTAGCTCTCCCAGGTGGCTCTCTGACACTTACCTGCTACTTTCACTGAATACGTTCGGCTCCTCACCTAGTGGAATCGAGAACGTCGCCTCCTCGCACAGCGCCACGCTGCGGCATCACTGAAGTCTTCCTTCGAGTCCAGCGGAGAAGACAAGGGGTCAGAGGTAAGAGATGAGTATAAAGAGGCGGTCCATAAGGATTCCCGGTCAACATTTACCGCCCACTTTCTTTAGACAGGCAAATTGGCCTCCCAAAAAGCCTCTAACGTCGGTGCTTTGCATGTGTGCCTCACCCTCACCTCTACAGTAAGCTACTTTAGACCTCTTGGGGGTGAACGCAAACAATCAAACAGGATTCTTGCATTCTACCCCAGGTCTGCCCCCTCCCCAAAGAAATGTCGGGAAACATCGCGGAAAATCTGGAAAGTCAGGTGACCTGGGTTCTATTCTTAACTGTTTTTAGTGGACTCCCTTCCCCTTCTCTGAGACTCACCTTTCTCCCCTGTAAAAATGAGGGTATGGAACTAAATGGTCATTAATGACTTTTTCTGCTCCAATTTACAGTTACTATTCAACGACACCTCATTTAACCTTTGGCAGTCTCCTCCTTTTCTATGTGTAGGAAATGGGTTGAGACACCTAGCTGCTTGCCCAGAACCCGATCTCTCCCATCCAGCCAAGTTTTCCTCATCTCCCCAGCAGCTGGTCATTTGTGGCTGGAGGAGCCGAATCTAGACCACTCAGGCAAGGGGTCTGCCCTATCCTTCCCCTAACGTGGACCCAGAAGGCAGTTTTCCAGTCATAGACCACGAGTTGTACCTACCAACAACTGATCTGGAAGCCTGGTGCTTCCGGATGGGGTGAGGGCTATGGAGTCCCGCTCCCAAGCTGTCGGTCTGGATGCCCCTCCTCCCTTGCTAGGTTAAATGTAGCCTTGGGCTGAGAACTGGGAGGAGTCCGAGAAGGGGGAGGGCGGGAGCTGTTTAGCCTGGCGGCTGTCTCGGTCCCAGAGCGACAGAGGGCGGAGGCGGAGGCCGAGCGGACCCGCGGGAGAAGAGAGGGTCCACCAGGGTAGCCTAACGCCATCTCCTTCGACTCCCGGCAGACCCTCTCGGGGTCCCGGGCAGAGGAGACAAGGACAAGGACTGGGACGAAGTTAAACAGTGGAGCCTTTTCTGGGGCACGAGGACAATAGCCAGGACCCTCAGGGTGGGGAGCATCGGAGTTCAGGGCTGCGGGAGTCAGCAGCCTGAGACGTGGATCCGTGAGCGGGGGTACCGGTCCTGGCTAAGGGGACACAGAATATGGCGCCCCCAGGACGTTGAGGGCCGCCATGGCCCTGGAGCAGGCATTACAGGCGTCGCGTCAGGGGGACCTAGAGACCCTGAAGGCGCTGCAGCGGGCCGGTTCGTTACTGCCCTCTCTGCGTGACCCGCTAGATGCTCTGCCCGTGCACCACGCAGCCCGGGCGGGCAAACTGCACTGTCTGCGCTTCCTGGTGGAGGAGGCGAACCTGCCTGCCACTTCCCGCGCCAGGAACGGAGCCACCCCGGCCCACGACGCCGCAGCCACCGGGCACCTCGCCTGTCTTCAGTGGCTCCTCACACAGGGCGGCTGTGGAGTGCAGGTGAGTCTAGGGGCGCGTCTGTCACCCCTCTGCTATCCAATCCAGGGCTGGCCTCCTGACACTGCGCCCCGGACTGCGTGAGGAGTCAGGGTGCTTCCTCTTTAGCTCTCGCCCTTCCTTCAGTAACTGCGATCCCAACCCTATCCTAGATTCCCAATCTGGATATCTAGCTTCAGGACCAAGGAGAGTAGCAGACGACCCCAGAATTAAGGCCTTGGTTTGGGAAACCACCCAGATAGATCTGCCTCTTTTGCCATAGGGACCGGGGAAAGTGGAACTCAAAGCACTCTAAATTGGTTTCCTAAGATTGGTAGCTCGTTCCTCTCGGTTTTCTTCCACCTTTCCTCTGTCCACTGACTTTCTTCCCTCCTACCCTCTACCCTCACTGCAAGCCTTGCATCTTATTTCATTCATAACTTTAAAGAAAATTCAACAAATATTTGTGGCAGGAGGTAGTAATACCCCACCATCCACAGGGGATGGCCTTAGGACTCAAAGAGAGAAAAAAGCTGTCCTGCTTCCATCTCTGATGCTAGCACTTTATCTCCTAACAGCTCCAGCAGAGGGAAGACTTGGAGGGTGGGAAGACATACTTGAAGACTTCTGGTGGGAATAGGTGCTATCTCACCCAAACTTTCTTGGACCTCAGTGCTTCTGAGTTCTTCAGATATCCTAGCCACCAGCTCCAATCCCATCACCCAATCCAAGCCTTGGGGAGGCCAAACTTGATTTATCAGATGACCTGGAGCTTTCACTATGGCAGAGTTCTTTTTCCAAGCAGCAATCCAGTGTCTTGGTCCAGGCTTGTCCAGGTCTCAGATTTGGTCCCTTACCCAGTAGCCCAGGGGCTGCAGAATAGAGGACCTTAATGGAAGGTGATAGTGTTATCTTCAGCCTTTCTACACCCCCTGAAAATGCACACTTTTTGATTACTTCCTGTCCCCTACCAGGTTGCCATTGCTGTTTGTTGTAACCTGATTTTTCCTTGGATACAAATGGTATTGAGGAAAGGGAATGAGGACAGTGAGGTCTTCTCAATATCTGCCCCCTGTTCAACTCCAACAAGAAGGACTGAAGGGAGAAGCATCTTCCACCCCTTAGGATGCAAGGATCAAGGAGAAAGGACCAAAGGGAAGGGATGACCACAGCCTCATTCTCGGTGTCATACAAAGCCCTAGATGATAAACAGCTTGCTGGGTGGCAGCAACAGATTGGCAGGTGGCAGCCTGGGATGTACCATTAGCAGCTTAAACAATTTAGCACTAGAGTGACAGGTGGGGTCACCAGAGCCTTTCTGGCTCAACTCATCTGCTTACTCTCCTCCCCCACTCCCATCTCTGGGATGGAGAGCACCAAAGGCTTGGGGACTCTGGAAAGCCTTCTAAGAAGAGGGCTCATTCACCTTCTAAAGGCAACAACTCACATTAATATAATACTTTAAGGCTCCTAAAATGCTTTTCTCACCAAGAACACTGTGGTAGGCAAGGCAAATATTTTTACCATTTTATAGATGAGAAAGTTGGAAGATTCTAAGTAATTTATCCAGAATCACACACAGAAGTGTCAGAGTTAGATGTGAACCTACTAGGCCTCCTTACTTTAAGACCACAATTAACTTACAACAAGCAACCCAAACCTCTCCCTCTAATCCATCAAGGACTGGAGGCAACTGAGGGCCAGAGATACAAGTCTCCACTACAAGAAATGTGAACGGACTGATGGGGTCAGGCAAGGACAGGGAGTTGGTAGTGAGAACTTTTCCACTCTCTTCTCCTGCACTGTCCTTCTCCCCAGCACACAGGGACACTGTGACTTTTGCCACTTCTCTGGGCTCACTGGATCCCAAATGGCTGAAATGGCAAATATACATTATGCCCCTAAAGCAGTCTCTGAGGTTTAGGCTGCAGAAACAAGAGGCAAAAGGAGAAAGCAGCTCTAGACCTGGTCACATCTCATGCCCAGATTGACCCTACTGTTATTAGCTAAACCACCATCATACAGCTAGCTACTCCCAAATACCTCTTTAAGAAAAAAAAAAACAGCTTCAACTGCAAAAGCCCAATGAGCAGTTTTATTCTGGGCTTCCAAAATTTTTTTTGAAGTTGTTTTATATAAACTATGTAAAATAAGCAAATAAATAAAATACATAAAATCAGTTCATGAAAGTGAGAAGCAACGTGATTTAGTGGCTAGAGCTAAGCCTGGGAGTCAGGAAGTCCAGGGTTCAAGCCAGCTTCTGATACACACTAACTCTGTGACCCTAGACAAGCCCCTTAACCTCTTGGTGCCCTCAGGCAATCTCTAGGAGTATAAGTTGCAGAAAATGTGCTCATCTGTATCAGGGCTTCCCCATCAGGGAGTTCCCTATACTCATGTCACATATTCAAACTTGCCTTCTGAAAAATGAGAATCTCTCTTAAAAAAAAATTCAATGACAGCTTAAAAAGCAAAATGCATGTATATTTAATTTAATAAGGATATTCTTCATTAACAGTCATTTTTTAACTCCCTATTTTAAAAATAAATCACGGCATATTCATAGGCTAGTTCGGTCAAAGAATTCATCGCCAAATGGTCAATCTTACGACACTTGGTACCCTACTGAGTGAAGTGGGTGCTAGAGCAGCAAACTTAGTATATGCCTTCTCTTATGTGAATGAAGCGTTCCTAGTTCTGGAGAACTTGCCAGAGGGCACTCTGCTGGCATAGTCTTTGAGAGTCCAGGGCATCAAATGTATGGTTTTCAACCCTAAGAGAAGTTGAGTCTTGTCTCAACTTGAATTGACCCTCTCCATTTGCAAATTGGATTTGGGGGGCAAATAGATCCTAGCATATACCTATTAAGTGAATGTTGTAATCTCTTTTAGACTTTCTTTTAAAAAATGTTTCACTGACATTTTTTAAATATTACCCTTAGTTTACCATGGTCTAGTATCCCTTTCCATACCTGCAATCCATCACCTCTCTGCTGAGAGGAAAATATATTTTACTGACTAAGTTTTACCCTGGAGTAAATTTGGTCATTGCATTGATGTGAATTCTGACTTGTGTGTGTGTGTTGGTCTCCTTTACATTGTTTGTTCTTCTTCCCACCTTCTCCTTGAGTTTCATCTCTAAGATGGGCTGCCTATATTGTTCAGAATCTATATTTTAGTCTCATTGGGAGCACATACCAGTCTTTACTTCTTTGTCCTCAAGTTGTCTCCCTTCTCCAACTCATTCTCTCTCTCTTTTTTTTTTTGCAATTGGGATTAAGTGACTTGCCCAGAGTCACACAGCTAGTAAGTGTCAAGTGTTTGGTCTGAGGCCAGAATTGAACTCAGGTCCTCCTGACTTCAGGGCTGGTACTCTATCCACTGTGCCACCTAGCTGCCCCATCATTCCCTTTTATAATATTTAGATGGAACCTCAATCTAAGATGATGCCTTCTTCTCTAAATATGTGATCTACCAAACTCTCTGGTTACATTTTTTATTAATGTATTAGTAATGCTCTTTTGTTGTTGGTTTTTGTTTTGAGGTAATCAGGGTTAAGTGACTTGCCCCCACAGCTAGTAAGTGACTTCAGCTGGATTTGAACTCAAGTCCTCCTTACTCCAGGGCTGGTGCTCTATCCACTTGGCCACCTAACTGTCTCTACTGATGCTCTTTTAAAAAAATTTTTTTTAATTGTCAATAGAACTCTCCAATCCTAATAGAACCTTCCATTGTAACAAAAAAATACAGTTAAGGGGCAGATAGGTGGTGCGGTGGATAGAGCACTGGCCCTGGAGTTAGGAGGACCTGAGTTCAAATGTGACCTCAGATACATGATGCTTACTAGCTGTGTGACCCTAGGCAAGTCACTTAACCCTGATTGCTTCACAAATAAATAAATAAACAAACAAATGAATAAATGCAGTTAAGCAAAACAAATTAACTCACTGACCATGTCTGACTATGTAAGTCATTATCTCTCTCTATCTCAGTTTCCTCATATGCAAAATAGAGATAACACTAACACCTACCTCAAAGGGTTGTTGCCAGGATCAAATGGAATAAATTATGGAAAGAGCTTTACAAACCTTGAAGGTTTATAGAAATTCTAGCTGTGGTGATGAGGATGAGGATGGTGCCTCATTCCACACCTCAAGCCTACCACCTCCCTGCCAAGAGGTAGGTTCTTGCTTCATTGTCAATGCTCTGAAATCACAATTAGTCACTTCGTTGATTAGAGTTCTGGGGTCAATGCTGGTTTTCTTTATATTATATATACATCCCAGGCTGCCACCTGCCAATGCTGTGGTTATTGTATCAAATTATTCTCCTTCCTCTGATTATCCTGCTCTGCATCTCTTCATATGGGATTTCCTAATTTTCTCTTAATTCTTCATATTTTTTTCTTATATCACAAGAATGTTCCATGACAATCACATAGTACAACTTGTTCAGCCATTCCCTAATCAAGGAGCACCCACATCCTTCCTAGTTCTTTACTACCGCAAAGCGTGCTGCTATAAATATTTGTCTATGTGGTACATTTCCCTCTATCTTTTGCCTCCTTGGCTAGAGCTACTCTAGAACAAAAGATCTAGATAAAGATCAGTTACTTTTCTAGAATCATTCCAAACTTTTAGAACAATTCGAGACTCCACCAACAGTATGTTAGCATTCCTCTTTTCTCATGGTCCCTCCAACTTTCACATTCACATTTACCTAGAGTTATTTTTTACCTCCAACCAAGGCTCCAGCCTAAATCAGATGTGCTCACTGGCAAGAAGCCCCCCCCCAACAGGACAAAAAGACCACTTCTCTCCAGTGGGCTGGAAGGGACAGGGGAACAGTGAGTCAGCAATAAGAAGGTCTGGTTTGCGTTTTCAATGGTGGGGATACTTTCAAGATCCTGGCTATGCTGTTGTTCCTTGTTTGTGGGTATACACAGTTAAGAGTTTGGGACTTAAGGGTACTGACCTCACATGCCTGTTAAAACAGAAGAGCTCATGGGTGACTCATGGTAACTTTAGCATGATTAACCAACCCTTTTGGCTCTAGGGGTTCAGTGGTTAGAGCACTGGACCTGGAGTCAGGAAAACCCGAGCTTAAATCTGGCCTCAGACACTTACTAGCGATATGACTCTGGGCAAACCACTTAACCTCTGTCTGCCTCAGTTTCCTCATCTGTAAAATGAGTACAATAATAGCACCTGCCTCCCAGAGTTGTTTTGAAGATGAAATGAGATGATATTTGTAAAAAGTTTAGCACAGTTCCTGGTACAGAGTAGGTACTTAATAAATGTTTGTTTCCTCGTGTCCTCCGTAGGACAAAGACAATTCTGGTGCCACAGTTCTACATCTGGCTGCCCGGTTTGGTCACCCTGAGACAGTGGACTGGCTGCTTCGCTATGGAGAGAGCGACCCTGCCTCAGCCACAGACACTGGAGCCCTGCCCATTCACTATGCTGCCGCCAAGGGAGACTTCCCCTCACTTCGACTTCTTGCAAGCCACTATCCAAAGTAAGAGCACTCCAAGGTCAAGGGCATGCATTTTTGCACACCTGGGGTTGGGAAATGCTTAGCTTGTCCCTCTTTCTCAGAGTCTTAGTTCTCATGGGATTTCCAGGCTTAGGATTTAGTTTGAGGGTTGCCTTGGAAGCCTCTTCCTCTCCTTCCACCATTCCTCAAGTCCTCCGGATGTTGATAGAATTTAGACTCAAGTTTGGTAAGAGTCTCCCTGTCTGAACAAAGACAGACAAATCCTTCATTATTGTAGGAATCATCCTACCAGTTCGTGCTTGCCCCTTCCCCAACCGGGATTCTCTTTCCTTGTTTGAAATGCTCTCCTCCCCACCCCACCCCCACCCCCAGCCTTCTAATAGCTGATTTAAACCTGACCTTTTGCTCTTTTCTAACTCTTTGAACTCAACTGCTAGGGTTGCAAAAGAATCCTCCACCCTGCCAGGCTCATTTTCATGGTAGGGACCATATTTGGGATAGCCTACTACTATAAAAATTGATGTCTGATCTGACCCACTGGGCCCAAGTGCTAGAAGAGGGTGGGCATTGAAAAGATGATACCCTCATTTTCCTACACTCTTGAATCGTCCTTCTGTCCAGTAGGGGGACAGAGAGGCCAACGATGGAGCCATCTAAATCCAACTTCTTCATTTTTACAGATGAGGAAACAGAGGCCCAAAGACATTAAGTCTATATGACCTGAGGTCGTATAGGGAGTAACAGAAACTGTTTTAACCAGGTCCTCTGACTCTGAATCTAGCAACCTTTCCCATCTGCCATTTGTCTAGCCAGGTCTTATCCCCTCTTCCTGGTCTTCTTAAACGCTGACCTACCTAGAAAGAGCTTTGCCAAGTACTGTTTTCAAAGCTTCTTACCCATCCATAACACTCAAATCACTCCCACTAGTATTAGTTGATTCCGGGAACCTCCTCCCAACATCCTCCATGCCTCGGGGTTACCAATTTGCAGAGAGCAGCGGAGAGAGCACCAGCGAACATCATTCCCTCTTATCCTAAGATCAGTGAGGCCTTGTGGCAGCGTTATCTAATCGGCCATTTGAAAACCCATTTGGAACAGATTTCTCTACTCTTAGGCAGCTATAGGGCTTGACTTCGATAGTATTTCACTTCTGTTTCCCCCACCTGAATGGTCCACAAAAAAAAAAAACTTTGAGAGTCAAGTAAATTATGTCAATCAAATTCATGATGAAATTACAGCTAAAATAACTTGGTAAAATACCTATTTTCAAAGCCCCACTAGAAATTTCTTGGAGGAACAAAGCAAGCTTGGTGCCTCCAGTCTATTATACATGAGATGGGTTTCCCACCCTTCTCCATAATTTCTGGGTTTTAGTTGTGAGACAGTTTGCTACTGTCTCCTTGACTGTGCCACCCAGATTCTGGCTGTTCGCTGGAGTCCCTCCGGGTGAGACTCAAGAGAAAACAGATCCCTCATCCTGACTGACATCCCCCCACAGCAAGCTGTGCCAGGAATTGATTGGGTTGGGAATGCTGTTAACAGCCGGCTCCCAGATGTTCTGCGCTGATGAATGCCAGCCCACCATGAATCTCACCTGCCAACAGCTTTGATCTTGCCACATGTGTGAAGTCAGTGATAAGGAAGCTTCTTTGTCCTCCAGGTCTGTGGGATCCTGGGGCTGTTTTTCAGGGGGTGAACAGATAATCCATCAATCAAGGAAGGGAGAATTGCTACCTCAAAAAGACCAGGCTTGGAAAGATCCAAAGGAAAAACCTCTCTCACAAATAGCTGTGACTTCCAGGGCCAGAGCCACCTCTCAATTCAATGAATTATGAGTCCTTACTATGTGTAAGGCATAGAAATGTACTGTGAATACCAAGATTTCCCTTAAGAAGCTTACATTCTACAGGGAGGCTATGACAGAATAAAAAAAAAAAGGACATACAAGATAATTTGAGGATGATTAGGGCAGGAGGTCTTAACCTCAGGCCTTCAAACTTGAATAGATTTTAGGGTGTCCATGAACTTGAATGGGGGGAAAATTACAACTTTATTTTCACTAACTTTTGGTTTGTAATGCTAGGTATTTTATTTTATGTATTTAAACAATTATTCTAAGACAGAGCCCATAGGCTTCATTAGACTCCTAAAGGGGTCCATGATTCAAAAAAAGGTTAAGAATCCCTGATCAGAAAAGTCAAGGCTTAAACAGATACCTGAAGGAAGTAAAGAATGGATTTGGAGTCATTACATCTGGGTTCAAATCCTAGCTCTGCAATTTGCATCTTGTGACCTTGGGCAAGTCAATATACTTTTTTTCTTTAAAATATACAATATTATAAAATAATTTATACAATTACATGTTAAAACAATGTTTTAAATTTGTTTGTTTTTTTGAGTTCCAAATTCTATCCTTCTGTCCCTTCCCTCTCAGCTCCCTGGGACAGTAAGCAATCAAATATAGGTTATGTAGGTGCAATCATGTAAAACATTGCCATATCAGTCATTTTGCATGAGAAGACCAGAATTTAAAAAAAGGGAAAAATAGCATGTTTCAGTCTGCATTCAGACAATATAAAGTCTTTTTCTGGAGGCAGACAGCATGCTTCATTATTAGTCCTTTGGGATTGTATTGCTGAGAATAGCTAAGTCATTCACAGCTCTTCATCATACAATATTGCTGTTACTGTATACAACATTCCTCCTGGTTCTGCTCGATTCCCTTTGCATTTACCCAATCCTTGTTAGGTGCTAGGTATGGGGAATACACAGAGGGAAAAGTCCCTGCCCTTGAGGAGCTTACATTACTAGGGGAACTACCTTGTAACACATAAGCACATAGAAAAATAACAAGTAACTATTCTAAGCCTCATTTTCCTCATGTGAAAACAAGGAGGTTGAACCCAGTTACCTCCCTTCCATAATTCTGAAGAAAAATCAGGAGATTGTCTAAGCACCTACCTTCCCAGTATTTCATTCTCCTTTCCTTCAAACTTGGGTTCACTGTGCTTGTGACTTGAAGGAATATTTCTCCAACTACCTCAAAATTCTGCCCTTGGGAAAAATGAAGGTTTGGGCAAGAAGGGCTGGGAGCCTCCCTCCCTAGCCAAACACTCATAATGATTGGGTTATGATGGCGTAGGTGAGCCTGGAAGGGTATAGGGACTGGGATGAGTTACTGGGCTTGGAGACCAGCTTGCTGGGAAACCCAGGAAGCCTCAGGCTTCTTTATCTTGTCCCTGGTCTAGTCCTTTGAGAAGCTATTATACCTGGGGTTTTGGGAGTGTAGGATAGAGACTGTGCCTCCCTGAGGCACTTCCCTCTCATCTACTCAGAAGACAGCCAGAGCTCTGGCTTCCTCCGAGATCTGGTTTAGCAGGTTCATGAATTATTCAGAGGCTTAGAACTCTCTCCAGGCACCATCCTCCTTCCCCCTCCCCAGGCCTCTCAAGGCTGGGTGAGGGCCCACTCTCTTACAAATGCTGGAAACCTGATCTCAGCTTTGCAAGAAATGGGAGGCCCTAGACGGGACCAAGGGAGCCACTAATGGCTGAGGCTTGGGAGGAGAGGAGAACATGCATTGTAAACCTCCCTTCCACCGGGAAGGCAAACCAACCCGGCCAAGTCAAAATTCCTGTCATCCTGGAACTTGGGCTGCTTGGGAAAAAGAAGACTGAGCAGGAACTCACCTTCGTTTTATATGGGAGGAGGCCCTGGGTTGGGGGGAGCCTTATTCTGTAGGAAAATGACTGGTTCTCTCTTTCCTCTATAATGGAACAAATGAATGTGTATCATAACAGGAAGGGCTTAAAAGAGATTCAGGAAACAACTTCCTAATACCTTGTAGCTTTTCCTTCTCCAACCCCTGCTGCTGTCCCCCACCCAAAAGGTCCTGGAGCTGAGAACTAGCTGGAGTATTCTTATCGTCCTTTATGAGGATATGATCTCCATTCTACAGCCTAGTTTTTCCTCCTCTCCTTTCCCCTTCTCTCCCCTACTCTCTTCTCTTCTCTCTTCCTTTCTCTTTCCCTCCCCTCCCCTTCTCTCCCCTCTTCTCTCCTCTCTCCTCCCCTCTCCTTCCCTCCTGTCCTCTCCCTTCCTCTCCACTCTCCTCTTTTCCCTCCAATTTACACTAAGAAAGCCAAAAGACAGGGACCTAGGTTGACTACTGAGACAGATAGAGACTGGAGAAAGAGGGGAAGAGCCTCCCAGCTAGAAGCAAGCCTCTTGAGCTAAAGTCTGGTCCCTAGAACTGCTAAGGATGCTCAGCCCCCCACCCCCTTCCCTCCCCAGGTTTCTATACCAGATAAACCTGCTGAGCTAAACACTCAGTTGTCCCAGGTCTCCCTCTGCTTCTCAACATCCTGCTAGGCATCCCCAATCCAGGTCCTGGCAGAAGTAAAGATGCTGCTGACTCCTTAGAATCACAGACTGTTAGACATACAGGTAATGTCATTCACTAGTCTCAGGTCACAAAGGGGAAATTGAGGTCCAGCAGGGTCCCAGTCACTTGCAGTCTCAGGGCAGAGCTAAGCCCCCTCACCAGTCCAAGGCTCTTCCCACTAGCCCACACTAGCCTTCTAAGGCCTTAGGAAGGTTGGTTTGGGAGAAAAGAGTGGAGGCTCAGGGCCTCTCCCTTGACAGGCAAGAGGACATACATTTAACTCAGTGAGTTAGGACAGCCTCCAGGGGCAAGTGCAGCCTAGCCCAGTGACAGGCTTCTGGAAAGTAATCAGGGCTGCACCTGAGCTCACAGAGGGTGGTTTTCATCCAGCTCTACCTGGCTGACATTATTCCCCTTCTCTCGTGCAGTGGAACAAGTCAGGAGACTCTTAAAGTCAAGAGATCATTGCTCCAGTTCAGTGACTGTAACTAACTGACTGTGATATTGGGTGAACCATTATGCTCTCTCTGTGCCTCAGTTTCCATCTCTGTAAAATGAGATTGAGATGGCAGGTAAGGAGATTGGATTTTCAGGTCCCTTCCAGTTCTAACATTCCATGATTTTTAGTCTCTCCAGG